ATATATATATATATGTATAAGTGGATCCCCTAATAGAAGAACTTCACAATACTGATTCACGATTGAAACTGCAGAAGTACGAAACATGATAAAAAGAAAGTTCTTATTCCACTGTAAAATAGATGGTATACACTTTCCAAGAAATGTTTAACACTGACCATGAACGGAAATAGAAGCAACTGGAGCTGAATGTCCAGACAAGACGTCCAATAATTTTCCATTCTCAAGACTCCATACATAAATGTTGAACATTTCTGTGGAACTTGCCATCACAAGTTCGGCTGCTGAATCAACTGCTAGACATCCAAGCTGTGTCCTGTCAGGACAAACCATTGTACGGAAATTGCGGTATCTATAAAAATTCACGCATGCGTTAACCTTAGCTATAAATCACGGAACAAATTTTTTGAATTGGACTAACCTAACTAAATCATGAGCCCGTACAGTTCCATCTAGCGATGCAGACAACAAAGCTTTGCCATCAGAGGTCCAACAAACCGTACTCACTCCGCTGCTATGTTCGGTAAATGTTACAATACAAAACGAGGATCGACAAGACCAAACCTTTACCTGAAATTGTGGATTTTTTTAAAACTTTAGGACATTAAATATCTTGTTAAGGATGAAGAATCCACAGTTGAAAAGGCATTAAATTTTATGTTCCTCAAAAATTAGAAGACGGAACATTGAAAACAAGCATCAATTTTTTTGAACCGTATTTAAAATTGTGACAGAGAAACATGGAGAACCTTTCCATCCTCTGCACCAGTAGCAATTTGAGATCCATCGGGTGAATAAGCAACTGTTGTGATAGACTGGCTGTGTGATTGTTGCTTCATAACGTAAGTTTCACTTTGCCACTCCCAAACCACTAACTGACCTTCGGTTCCTTTTCCACAAGCTATTGCTATCCAGTCACCAGACTTGTTTATAGCCAAGGATGATACCTTTGTTTCTGATACCCTTCATTTGAAAGAAAATTAAGTCCTGCAGAAATCATAAAAGTGCTTGACTGATTTGAATTACATCTAATTTAACTCTTTCCGAAAGGTTAACAATACTAGGGAATAAAAATTAGAAACCTAAATCACTAACTGATTTTAGAAGCTTTTTTGTATCAAAATGATGGCTGTCTCACCACTCATCCATCGCTATGGATACAAGAAGAAAGTAATATGTCAAAGGATTAAAATTACTGCTATAAGCTCTGTCGTTTTTCAGCAAACGATAATCGATGATTCAGCTTACAACAGACACCTAAAATAATTTACCGCAAACTGTAGATGAGATTAAAATTTGGCGTTTCATGCAGAAGAAATGCTCCATTTGAAAATGCGGTGATCAACAGCGATGTTGGTGGATGATAGGCACTTGCTGTGAGATTAACGCCATGAGCATTATCCAAATGTTCCGTCATGAAATGTCTAAACAATATCGCAACAATCAAAAGAAGTAATCTGAATTCTAATCTTGTCTAAATTAAATAAAACTATAATTTCAATTTGCTTCCGGAACATGAACAAATCCCCGCACAAAGAACAATCAATATACAATAGAAAAGAAAAAAGAAATAAAATGATAAGAAAGCCAAAGCAAATCACAAAAATATCTTATCTATTTTCCTTAATCTTGCATTATAAATAAAAAAAATCGAACCAAAAGTATTACCTCTTTGTTTTATCATACCACATCTTCTTCACATCTTCAGAAGAAGCTTTCGAACATAACCCTTCAACGAAATCTTCTTGCTTCAGAGCACAAGTCCAATGATTAGCCAGTCCACGTTTATCAACTGATATTAACTGGAAGAAAGGAAAAATGAACTTAATATTCAAAATATTTCCCACAGGAAAATATTGAAGAGTGATTAAAAGAATGACTTTAATTTCGAATGAACGCCTGTGTCATCAATAAAGAATTTTGTCCGGACTTCATTCCTTCTTGAGCGTGTACTGGCCTTAGGTTAGCCATCTTCAAAAATTTAGGGATCTTTTGAAAAAATGGGTTGGTAATAAAGCAAATATTACATCACCTTATGGTTTTTATAACCACAAAATTTAATTCATTTAAATTCTGAAAGTAACAAGAAATGTCCAAGCTTACATTGTATGAGTTGTGGCAAAAATGACTGCCAATAACTTCTGCTTTATGTGCGGCCAAAGCATGCAAAAATAGATTTTTGAAAGTATCTACAGCTGAAACCACTCGTACTTGTTTATCTTCTGAACCCACTACCAAGAGTCTAAAACAAAACCACAAAATAAGCTTTCATAACGCAAAACTTCACCCAAAAAAATTAGTACAGTAATCAGTAGGAAGCGACGCACCAAAGCTGAACAGTTTATTGAAAAAAGTTAGAAATAACTAAATTACTTGTTGTCGTAGCTCCATTCCACGTTTTTTGCCTTTGCAGCAGTGATTTTATGAGTATGTAGCAACATGAATGGATTCAGCTGAAAATTCTCAATCCCTGCAACCAGAAATACCTGTACATCGCCACCTCGACAAGCAGCCAGTCGCCTGAAAAGTATTTTCGCACGAAATCAAGAACTAAAGAAAGTTCCATCATCACAATATAAAAATACATCAAGCTTTTCAACGTAAGTACAAACCTGCCATCCATCGAAAACTTAACATCATTAACACGTGCTCGAAAATTATGCTGATACAGAACTGTTTGCGTAATCAAGTTAATGTATTGAGCCTGTCCAGCTACAAAATATAATATTATTATTCGTAAATAATATCGATGTAAAGCGGTATTTTAAATGAGAAAAATGACGGAACCTATACGGATGAAAATAGTACGCTTAGTTCAGTTGAAGCAAACAAAAAGATACAAGGAAGAAGAGAAATGTAATAAAAATAGCTGAGGGATAAATAACCTTCATTGACTAGAAAAGCGTGCGCGCCAGATGGATGGACTGTGACACATTTAATATTGAAGTTTGACTGGATGGCAATAGTATTTGCTTGGTTACTGCAACTAACCAATATTACTGATCGAAAGTGTTTAGTGATTCAAAAAGACACATTAAGTAGAACCTCAGTGATAACAGTAAAAGAGAACCGTCACATCAAACTCACTTTTTCAGATCAAATACTGTGACTTTATTACCAACTGGACTGATAATTGAATTGCCATCCGTTGAGAACGTAACGTTGCCATCACGGTAAACAGTACCGATAAGGCTTGAAAACTAAAAGAAAAACAAAATTCAATCCTGATTCAGAGTATACCAATCAATTAAAGCAACTTCGAGATCTTCCAGAACAAAAAGATTCTTGCATACAAAGTGGTTTTTGTAAGCAAGATTTGCCAGCGCAAGCAACATTACTTTGAAAACTTAAAAAAAATTACCAACAGGTGCTACTAAGGAAAAATGATCATAACTTGAGGTCCTTTCTATAAGATTAATTTAAAACCTGACCTTGAAATTGATGCTCATAAATGACGGGCTTTTCCTTCCAAATAGAACTTTGATTTGAATAAAAATTCCGAAGTAATCGAGAAAAAGACCAGTTTATGCAAAAGAAGCGAAGATTAATAAATCCTCAAAAAAGAAAAGAACTTGAACCCTAGAATCGAGAACTGCAAAGCAAAAAGTAAAAATAATATGGCAATAGATTACCAGCAAATATATTACTGATCTGCACAACCAACTTTGTCCATTCTTTATTACACTAAGATATGAATAAACCAAGTCATAATAAATTAATAAAAATGTGCAATATTACTAGCAATTGGTAAATCGAAGATAAAGCATAACCGACCAAAACAATAAGACAGTGTCAAACAAAAATCGAAATCGTACGTAACACAAAGAACCACAACTATTCTCTCCCTTCCCCAACTTCCCTTGTTGCCTCAACATGTAATTTTTATACTTATAAATAAACATCTTATGAAGAAAACATGAAATTGGATTTCTTGAACACCACTATTAAAATTCACAACAATTTATTTTGAACAGCTTTTTCTTCAATGAGTTTTACTTTGCTAGTGGATTTCTTCTTTTTACTTTCTATAGCATCTAATAGCAAACCAGTAAATACAACAACGGTGGCCAGAGACTGTCTCTGTGTTAGAGTATTACCAAACAAGATCACCGAACCGAGCATCGTGAATAGTTTTCGTGTTGTTGTTACAATCGAACAAGTCAGTGGACCGAACTCTGTCACGGTTTTGAAAATAAAGAACTGAAAATAGTGATGAAACTCTGCAAGCAAAAATTTTAAGAGATCATGAAAGTGATTGAAGGTAATCAAGTTTACAACTTTTGAAAATAAAGAAAATGCAGGTTAAAAAAATGGTACCTGTCCCAAAGCACTTGCAGCAGCAAGGGTAAATAGATCAATTATTACTTTCGGGTAAGACTGCACAAATACCATGAAATCAAATAATTCACCAGTTAGAAGCAGACCGATTAGAAGATATAATGAAGAAAATAAGTTCATATAATACATCATATTGTGAGCATTTGCTTTATGCTGCTGACGAATTCTATCTTGTATTGCGCCAGTAGTACCATCCATTGCCAACGACAACAGCTATAAATTTGGGATATTTCGTTTCAGTCGGATTTTAATAAAGTAGATATGCTCTTAACAAGTATTGGAGGTAAACGGAACACTTCTCTGCGAAGGTCAACCAATGACACTGTGATTATAGTCAAATATCCAGCAGAAATTGCACGGACTACACAACACGCAAGGAGATATTTATAAATACTTGAAATGCAAGCTTGATAATGTATCAAAGGGTGTTAAATTAGTTCTCAGAAACTTAATACCTTAATATTTTCAAGATATAATACGTTAACTCTGGCAATTAAAAATGTTACGATACACTGGTTAAATCCATTCATCAGTCAGAACAGATTCACTATGTAACTTCATAATTTACAAAAATAACAATAACATACCAGTAACAGCTCACCAGAACCTAAGTTGAAAACAGACTTTTCATACGTTGTACTCGATTTTTCCTTGTACAAGAATAACCCAACACCAAACACAATCATCAAAACACAGCAGAATTTCTTCAAATGATATCGTTTATTGGCAAAGAGGAAACCGAAAACCATTATTGGTATTGGTTTACACGATTTACCCAATACCTAAACGGAATTAAATATAATAATACATAACATAAAAAGGAAAGCGATCTGCTTACTTTTACATTGAAACATCACAAATAAGTCCTCCTTCACAATAGCAACTCATCTAATCGGATTTCCGACGAGAAGCTTATGAAATCTGAGCCAAATCCGTGATATAAATAGGGAAACCATTTCACGGAAACAAACATTGAAAGGAGGCTAACCTGCGTTGGATATGGTATGTACTGCAATGCATGATTACTTGTGACCATTGCAAACAAGTAACTAGTGGACACAATAGCATATGTCGATGTCGGGACATTATCTCTCGTTTTACCTCTCAAAATATAAGCAAATATTGTATTTATAGCACACTGCACAAACACGAGTGCTTGGGTATGCGTGAAACGTTCCTTGTCATCAGCATCATATTTACCCTTTATTCTGAAACATTAAAAAACTAGTTAATACCTTATTATCATTCTTATATTCCAAAACACATATTTCAACTAGCTAACATTTTCAGCAGAATGCTTCCAAGTTTTCGAAAAAGAAAAATTTTTATTTCAAATGATTATCAAAGGCAAGAACTTTACATTGATTCTTGAATGATTCCAAACCAAAGATAACAAAGCAAAGTACCACCGGCAGAGAATATTAGATTGGCTGCTTTCTTCCATAACGTTTCATTTATATAACTTTCATCCCTTAGCTTCTTGCAATCATCAGTTGTTGTTTCACGCACTTCTCCCATCGATCTAAAGATCGATATATGTGTTGAGTTTCTGTAATATTTCGCTAAAACGTGTGCGCCCATTAATTCCATGTTATTTTGATGAAACCACCATACGACAATCATTATAATCCAATCAATTCAATTCATTCCAATAAAATTAGATTGCAAAAATAGCCTGATATGACTAGTCTTCAGCAGCAAAGTATGTAAAGAATTATCTATCAACCTTATATGAAGACCAACTTCAAAACAAAAAACCTATAACCCTCAAACTTCTCCCTCTAACTAATTTCCCTCTAACTTCAAAACAAGGAGTAATTACTCCTTGAAGACCATTGAAGCAAGTGAAAAGGTAGAAACTGATAAAATTATAGGATATGCAAAGCGAAGATTTAAGCAAATAAATGGCTATTATATTCTACGGCAAACAAACAGACCAAATTTTCGGAAAGTTAAAAGCTTGAATATAAGTTTGAAACTGAAAGTGCTGAAATAATTGAAAAGATCAAAGCCATAACCTTAAATCTGTATCTGGCACCGCAAGTAGTAGAGAAAAGATACTGACACAAATGAAACAGTAAAAACCAATAAGGCTGTAGGACATGGAAAGCGGAAATTTAAATTAAAAAAGACTATTGAAGCAAGTGGAATGATAGAAACTGACAGAGTTACAAAATATGCAAAGCGAAGAAAGACTGAAATGAATGAATAAGTAAATATCATATTCCAAGATGAACAAATAGACCATAAAAATATAATAAATAAAACAAGTTTGTCAGTGCCAAAAAGTGATATAAAAAAGTGTCACCTCAGAGTTCTTTCATTAATTTTCAGCTTCTCATTTGTTGGAGAGCCATGTCAAGAAAGCACATATATTACCAAAATATTCATTATTTCAATTAAAATCTCTGCATTTCATCTAATTATCCTTACACCATCAATTAATACACAAAAAATCAAACAGATTTGGCTACTTGCTCCTAGACCTTCTGGACACTTACAAATAGGAAGTCATTTCGAAACCAAAAGCACTTATACAGCTCAATATTTTTGATCGTTTTCCAATCGTTGCGGGGACTACGGGTGCCAACAAATTGGGATTGGCGTAGCAACGCGTGTAAGTTGGGAAGAAATGATATGACGATGTGACGTGTGAAATTCCGTCTTTCATTATCATCCCTTTCTTCACTGATTCTTTACGCATTTTCGTTACACCATTCATTTCCAAGTCACATTTCATAATTTTCACCTGTATGTCATGAAATTTTCACGTGTATGTCATGAATTTGAAGCATTACTTAATTATTGTGTTACTTGAGAACGTCCAGCTGATATTTTCTCAAATTTCAATCCATTGTTGTTTTCATGACTTCTTAAAATCTTCAAGTTTATCGTTAGGCTTAATCGTATCAGCACAAAGATGTGTAATGCATGGTTCTAATCAAATAATGCAGTCCCATTTGCTATCGGTGGTTTTAGTTTTTGTCATTTTTACTCGAAAATTACATATGAATTAAACTACTTATTATTCGATGTATGTTTTGTTTTTCTACGTTTTTATGCAACATTTACTGGTAGTAAGTATATTTTGAGGATCATAACTTATATTTACTCGATGGATGAAACTGAAAATTTTCTGATGGAAGAGAGTCGCCGAACACGAGGGAATAGTGACAATAAATTGACGTGCCCAGAAGAGAACGTTATGCAGAAAGGCGTAACAGATGAGTTCGAGTTTGAGGAGGCAGTGGACAGATATGGTATCCGTACAGGTGTTACTCCCGAAGTCGCGCATGTAGAATCTGATTCCACGGAGCGGGCTTCATTAGTAACAAAAGACCGTGAAAAAGTAGTTGTGGACAGAGCATGCTCACGTTCTGAGACAAGTAGAAACGAAAGTTTTGGTGAAGAATTTGACGCTACAAGTCAAGATGTTCAAGAAAATCAATGTAATGATCGTAGTACTGGAAATGCTGTCAATGAGTTGGAAAAACAAAGCTCATTAGAGATATCGGAAAATAAGGTAACATCTTAAATTTGTATCTGACATGCTCTGTATTACAAATTTTACTTGAATGTCGTTTTAAAATCAGAGGTGTTAAGGGCGAGTTCTTGATTTTTAAACTGAAAGCACTTGCTGCAGGTTGAGGAAACCACACATGGCAGTCCAGAAACAGCAGAAATACGAAGTATTTATAATACTGGAAAACCTCATTCACAAGGTTTGTTTAGCTAAGCTAACTTCAAGTAGATTAAATAGGATGAACCAAGTAACTGGAGTTGATGATCCAGATCTTTTGAATCTTGAATAGTTTCAGCATATTTTTTCCTAGACTTTGCAAACTGCAATAAGTCCTGTTATTATTTTTAGAAAGACAATTTTCAAAGATGAAGAGTAATCTGTCAACTAATTGTTTAGTGTTGGCAAAATTATTGTTGATTACTGATTCTCAATATGTAGTGAAGCGCTTACCCAATACCTTAAATTTTAAACTAGTTCTCTGTTAGAATACCCCTTTCAGTACGCTCAAGGAGGATCGGTTTAAGATATTATAACTAGCTTCAAATGAGTTTCAAAATAAGTTGCGGAAATGAACAAAGTAAATTTAAAGTCGGGACTCTAATTTTATGTGTACCTACAGAGTGAAGAAAGATACTTGAAGATGACAGTTGTTTGGTCTCCTTTAGCGTTTTATTTCAGGTCCGAAACACTATATCCCTCCAGGTTGGGTATATCACGGTGAAAGCGACGGGTATCGGTATTATGTAGGTTGTGCTGGAGAGGTGAGTATCAGCTTTTTTGTTTGTCAATTTCAGTATTTTATACCAGTTTTATTTTTTCAGGTCACTTGAACACTTCAATTTTCCTTACCTTTGCTGCTCTGCTGGAATAAAAAAAATAATACCTCATGTTATTTAATAGGGAATATGCGTATTTTGATTGAACACAATAATTTCCATTAAAATATTTTTGCACAACGAAAATTTTCCCATTTTTGTTGTTAACAGATAAGTAGTCTGATAAATTCATTTGTTACTTATGACTGGTTGCTTTTTTTTTGCTCAGTTACAATTTTTGCTTGCTGTAGTGAGCGGTCGGTTGGCCATGCGCTTCTTTAAGTCTAGGGTATATATACGACCAAATGCCTATCATAGTATTGCATTTTCGGTTTGCCATTAATTTCTATTTTTTCAGTTTGATAAACCATTTGAAAGTAATTATTTAAAGAATTTTCGCAGTAAACACTAGTTTGTTAAAGTGTTATTGTAAGCTAATATTTCCATAGTTCTATGTTAGTTAAAAGAAGCGAAACGTATTCAAACAGATATTTTACAAGGTTTTCACCGAATCTGTGCCAGCATCTTTCCACAGTATAGGGTTATAATGGTGGATAGTTCCCATTTATATGGACTCATTTCCGGAAATGCTTATGTGGTCGTTCCATAAATACGTCCAAGTACGTGGGAAACTTTAAATACTGCCACTTATTGGTACGAGGTGTTCGATTTAGTAACGCACAGTTGTTGTCTCTTTCATAAGACCAATATACTCTCATATTATGCGGTTGCCCCATTAATCGACCAAAAACCTCCGGTAGTTTGAAATTTAATTTAAAACTCTGCAGAGGCCTTGAAATGTTTAAATTATGTTGTGAGAAGAGAATCATGTTATTCTAGTATTTTCGGAGTGTAAAAGATCTTTTCCAGATGTATTCAGTGGACAGAGATGGCTACTGGTACATGCAGGATAGCACTGGCAATTTTATCCCATACACCGGTTATCAGTATAACCGCGGAGCGCATAGTTCCCTATTTCCGCGTGACAGTCAAGGGCGGTTCATTTTACCGACAAATGCGCGTGGTGAAAAAGCTTTCCCAGTGGATACAAATAATATGCCAATTTTTCCATTCGACACAACGACTCATTTGCCTACGTTCCCTGTAGATGAAAATGGGCAACCTGTATTTCCAACTGGTGCTCTTGGAAGACCCATCGTACCGATCGATTCAAACGGTATAGTTCATTCGCTTTAATAATTCGAAAAACCGTCATTTTCTTTGTCAACTTTTCAGACTCTGTTTTTCTTCCTTTTCACATTAATGCAGAAAATGTAATTCAAATTTGTTTACTTACTCCAATAGCTTTGTCAAGGGATTTCTTCTCAGCGTTTTTCATTCAGCTGCAGAACTGAGTAAACTGCAGCGTGGTGCACAATTTATGGAAATTCTTGGCAGTTGTCTTGCAGATCATTTTTAAGCTTTTTGTTCTAGAACATACATATAGATCATACTTCTTTATTTTGACTACATTTCTGCTTGTAAATTCATTTGTGCTCTGTTTAGGGAAGATTAAGTATAGGAATAATCGGTGCTACGAAATGCAAGTTTCCAAAAGAATCTATGATAACCTATCAGTAGCAGTGGTGGTGATAAATGAGTGCGGAAGTCAGATTGTAGTTTTTTATTCCTTTTTTTAATGCTATAAGTTGGTCGATACATAGCAATTAATTGGAATTATATCACGAATAAGATTTTATTGTTAGTCCTATTGTAGTTTTTGCAGGCCTTGCTATATTTCCTCGTGATGCGAATGGTCGGTTCATATTTCCATCTGGACCGAATGGCAGACCCACGGCACCCGTAAATATCTATGGTATTATTTAATGTGCAGATTTTTTCCAAAATTTGAACAACTCAAACTGACTAATATCATTTCACTGTTGAAATAAATTATGTTAAAAGCAAATAACATTTTATCTTCCTAATCCGTTTAAAAAATTCACTGCAGGTGTCCCAGTAATGCCGTTGGATGAACAAGGCAAGCCAGTAGTACCTTACGATGCAAGCGGAACACCCCTCATTCACTTGGCTAGTGATGGTAGTTTTGTAATCCGTGTTTCTGTGTTTTTTTATCATGAAAGATTTCAGCTTACGTCTAGCCTTTTCAGTCTACGGTTAGTTTGGGCAACCAAAAACAACAGTCAGAGGAATGCGGCCAGTGCTACTATAGCGGCGCGTATTGCATCACTACAGTCATGTTCTGTTCTTCCTTTACTATGATTTGTTTTTCGTTGTAAATTCTTTTCTATGAAAAATGGAGCAGAAGGCACTGAAAGGAAAAGTACTAGCGTAAATTGGCATTATTGGTATTTGGCTCGATTTGTAGGCATAAATCGATGTTTTCTGTGTGTGTGCTAGAATGTGGAATCGAGCGAATCAATGATGCGCCTCGAATGTTACTCACCTGAGCCGAAACTCTCTGAGGCTGTATTGTATCAGTGCCTGAAAAAGGCGAAAAGTGGTAAAACGAAATTAAATACGACTTCATGAGTAGGCTTCTGTTACCCGTCCTTTAGTTTTGCTACTCATTTTACAGGTATGACTCCTCTCACTGAAGAAGAATACCAGTACTCTTTGCAGTGGAACGACTATTACAGCCGTTACTATAAAAATACCGCAGAACAAGTATGTTGTCTTTAATTTATAAGATAAATATAATAAGAAAACAGTTCAAATATGCAGGATTGCTGAATTTAAAGTTGTTATGGTCGTTCCACAGAGATCTTCGATTATTTATCAGCTATCAGTCGGACATGACTTTTGGAAGAAAAGCATTACTAATAATTAAGCGCAGTATCTAATTCACCTTAATTAAGCTTTCTCAGGTTAGGTCCTACCTGCAGGTTGCTCAACCCTTTGCAGCCTTGTCAACAGGAATTCTGCAGAATAAATCATTCCCTAATTTGTCGTTACAAAGTGATGCTTTTCTAACACTGTACTGGTTTTATGGACTCATACAGTTTTCAAAAAAAATTTCCACATTGCCCAATTCTATTTGGTCTTTATTGAAATTACAAGTTTGGATTAGTGGTGCTTAATTTAGAAAGTAAGCAGTTCAAGTCAGTCTGGAGCGCAGCCAACGACTACGGACGATACGTATGAACAAAAAGCGAAGAATATGAAACTGCTGAAAAAGGTAGGCCAATTTGATCAAAATCTCAAATCTTGAGGAGGTGCTAGTGGGACAATTCTGATTTGATTTCCTCCTTCACTTCTTAATAAACACTGATCGAATTTCAGGTTCGGCCAGAAGACATCGATTTGCCACCGTGTGTGCCACCTCCACCGTCAACACAGCCTCCTCCGCCACTTCCGGACGGATCTGCTTTATCTGGTAAAGTTGAGAAAAAAGCAACTCCTGACCCTGCTCTGAAGGCAAAAACCAAAAAAATGATTGAAATGCAGCTCAAATTCTCGCGCAAAAAGTTGCGCAACGCAGTTCATTCCTCAGTTGCAGTAGTGTCCTCTAGTGAAACGACAAATACGTCTGTTGAGCATACAATATCACCGCGACAACCGAGCGATTCACCGGAAAATATTGACAAAGTAGAATCACCAAAGGAACGTCCTCCTCCTCCTCCTCCAGTGCATGTTCCAGCACTAAATCTATGTATACCACCAGAACCTGATAATAATACCCAAATCAAGGAATCATTTAATGCGGCCCTCGATAATGCACCGAAATCAATGGATTCACGGATTATGCAGAACCTAAACAAAAATCCCAGTGATGATTCAGGAGTAAAGGAAAAAATCGCTGTCTTGCAGACCTCAGTTCAGACCTCTTCGACCCCTTGCAGACCTCAGTTGGGGCCCACCTCAGTTCTGAATGTACCAGACAACGCAGTCAAAACATCTGGCGATATGGCGAAGAACTTTGGAAGTCCAAAATTATTCTCCGACTTATGTGGAAATTCGATGAATGAATTTCAAGTGGACAATCATGCCTTCGGAAAAGAAATTAGGACGAAACTGGATGAATGCCTCATTGAATCAAGAGATGGAAAAATCACACCTGAAAAACAGTCGGAACCTGTTTTGACAGACGTCACTGTTACATTAGAGGTTGTCTCGGATGAGCACCCTCAAGATAAGGAGATTATTGAGGAAGAAAAGGTTCTATCTTAATAATCTGTTTTGTTATTGAAATTTTTCAAGAAAGAGTGGGACTAGAACCCTTTTGGGATGGGTAATTTATAAAATATTGCAGGAATTATGTTAGGATCGAGTAGTGAATTTTTAGAATCTATCCAATTATTTTAAGGCAGTATTTCATCACTATTTCACTATCTTCCGTCTCAAAAAAATACGATGAACCGAATTAGAATTACATGTTTTAGGTGGCAACCAAAACAAGACCATCTGTTGGTAACAGTTATGAATCAAAAATCGAGAATCAGACATTGCGAAGGCGTGATGACAAGAATGAACTTATTTCGGCTTCACATGGAAAACGTTCTGAGAAGAAGATGCGTCATCGTGATGCGTCGAAAGAGAGAAGACGAAGAACGTAGGTTTTAATTTTATAGATTTCTGACACTTCGGAAGAACTGTTTTTCTATAGAGCAGTGCATTCGAAGAAGGGAATTATATTAATTTTTGCAACTATGATCGTTTATGTAAATAAATTTTGGTGGTTTCCCTGGATTTTAGTGATGAGTAAATTTTTAAGTGAGAGCGGCCACCGACGCCTTCGAAGTCGATCATCATATCGTGACTCACATCGTAGAAGTCGTTCCCGAGGGGTGAAGCACAGAAGCCGTACTCGAAGTCGTACACCACGTGATTATTACTGCCGTAACAGATATCGTTCTCGAAGTCGAGATCGATTCTACAAACACGAGAGTTCTTACTACGACCGACGTGATCGACGTTATTGGACACCTGATGCTGAAGACAGATATTCGTATCGAAGACGACACTCCTCATCTAGAGAGAGGTCTTCGCAACATGAAAGGTCATCAAATAATTTAACTCTTATATATTCCTATAAATTTTGCAAACTTTCCTCTCGTATAGTGGCTGTAATTTTAGATTAGTTTTATTTTCGGATTTTTTAAAACATAAATTTTTTTTAAACCCAAAAAAAACACCAATGCATATTAACACTTCGTTTTTCAAAGAAAATTCCCACGTATTTTAGTTATATTTATCCATTTCCTTTAACAGCAATGGCAAACAATTTCTTAATTGTTTGCCATTGCTGTTAAAGAAAAGCTACCTTACCTTCGTTTATAGGTGTCCAAACTCAAAAAGGAACACTACTAAATTTACAGGAGTACAAGCCGAGACTTAACGCCAACAGGTGACAAATCAAGTAGAAGCCGTAGTTATTACGAACGATCAAAAAGTCGTACTGAATCACCGGTTCCTTCGCGGCACTCTTCTGTTGCTCGTTCGATTTCACAATATAAGACCACGGATAGTCGTAATCGAAGCTCCAGTCGTCGTAATTCTGCTGGTAATGAATGTTTCATACTTTGACATTTACTAAAAATACAAGGGTTTAACGATTACTGTTCTTAACAAAAGATTTGCTACAAGTTCATCATCTCAGTAAATTTGTTCAGAATACGATGTTTCACAAATAACAGAACATGAATCCGGAAAATCACCGCGACAACCAGCTGAAGATGTGGAATCCATTGACGGTGCAATTGATATGCACAAATCAACCCATCATTCAGCAAGCCCTCGCAGTGAAAAGTATAATTTTTAAATTTATTCAATCAACTTGCGCAGATTTATGCGTCAAATGACTTATTTGCATATCAGGTCAAATGAAGATTACAAGGCCTTTCAGGGGGAGATCTGATATGTGGAGAGAGATTAATGGATATATCCATGAATGATGCAGAGGCGAATCAGTGAAAAAGATAAAATCTTCTAACTGCAAGAAGGGATATTCCCTTCTTGGTTTGAATTTCAGTAATTTATTCAGGAATCAAAGTTTAGACTTGCTATTTTTTAATAAAGTCACGATTTTCAGGAGTTCGGTAAAAGGGCTTGAAGTTAAAGCTGAGAAATCAAAGAAGCACAAAAAAACTAAAGAAAAGCATAGAAAAAGAAGGAAGAGTCACCACAAAAAGTGAGTTACATTAATTAAAAGAGAAAAAAAAGTGGATTTTGTTGTTTATCTCATCATCTCGATTTCTATAAAACTTGTTAAATTTCTCGTGACTTATGGGCTATCTTTGTTTGTACTACAATTGTTATCGTTTTTAGAAGAGATAAAAAAAAGGGAAGTCCATTTATGGACGAAAGTGAATTAGATGAGAAATACAAGGCGTCATCAGTCCTGTCAGAAGAAACAGATTTGAATGTGTAAGTACAGTTATTTTCACGTTTTTTCCCAAGTTTGCCACGGGGTTCGTAGCCATTGCTGACGTTTTCTTCAAGAATGCTATTTGCTTGCTTTACATCTTTGTATTCACTAGATTAGTAACAGGTTTATCCATTTCAGGAATGCATCCTCAAATCAACTAGCAGATGAGGGAGCACAAACAGTTCCCAACAAAGAGCTGAATGACTTAAAAAATGTAAAAATTTTCAATTAACTTTCTTTTACCTGAAATTCTGAAGTTAAAAATGATAAATAAAGGCCGTAATTTTATAAATCCATGCAGGAGAGAACAAAAAAGAGGAAGGAGAAGAAAAAGAAGAAAGAACGTCACAATACTAGCACGGAAAGAAGTGACGTTACGAAAAAGGCCTCACAGGAAACACTGGAAGATGGTGAAATCATCACCGAAAAAGATGTATCGCCAAGGTAATTTTTATTTCATCATCTTGTTCATCCTTTTTTATTTCTATGTTTTTGCCATTTTTATCATTCATCATAACTAGTCAAATGATTACTGTTATGTATTATGTTTAATCAGCTTCTTATTCATTGCTGAATTTCAATAAATTCAATTATCTGCAAACTTTTGCTGTTCAAAATTTAAAAGAATGACAGTACGACTTTTTTCTTATCTTTGTAGATCTGTAGTACTTATTCACTTTTTTTATTTCAACTGATGAGTTCTCTGACAAAGTTTTATGGATTCTAGAGTAAGAGGAAAAGTGGTTAATTATGCGACATCGGAATCAGAAGGGGAAGACAGTAATACGAGAGAATTGAAAAATCCGATTGAGCAACTAGCCGGAAATTGTAACACAAAAGTGGGTTTTCACGAAGTTTTAGTGGATTATTTGTTAATTGATTAATTTGTTAGTTGATCAACTGCCTTTTTAATGCATTAATAAATAATAATTTAGAACTGACAAATAGATCCAAATCAATTTTAAGGAAAAATCATTAATTAAAAGATAAAGAATAGTAGTTTAGGGGGAGCAGAAGCAGCTTTCGTACTTTACACTGATGTGATATAAATGATTTTCATCGTTTGAACAGATGATTTAGATTCAGTTAAAAGGGTTCTTGTTTTATTTTTGGCTTGACAGAAGAATCTTTTGTGACAATTAGATTCTCTTGGAGTAGCACAATAATAGTGGATTGTAAAGAATGTTTTTTTAAATGAGTATATTTTTCAGGGTACTGTTCCCTCTACGATAAAATTTTCACTGAGTTCTAAAACGGCAGAAAGTCCTACCAAAGTTAAAGAGGATTTTAACGATGCTGAAATTATTCGGTCATCAGTTTTATCATTCGATCTTGTTGATGAAGTATGTTTGCAATTAGTTTTCTGCAGTTTCTTTGGTGTTTTTGCATTTGAAATCGTGCTTCATATTAGGTGGTGATATTCCTTTGAGTAATCCTTGAAATGACAATGAATCTAGGAAAGGGTTGTAAAATCAACAAAAAGCTTGATATGTTTTTTATAAATATAGTCGAATAATGTTACTCATCAGCAGAAGTTGCTGCGAACTGTTTTGAATTTATCAATTATCATACATAAAACAGCTTTGTATGCTGGAATCTTTAATGCTATATTATAGGCACTGGTTCCTCCAGATGATACCACTATGTCTAAATTGGGAAAGAAAGCAAAACAAAATTATGAGCCTATAAATCCTAAGAGGGAGATGAAAATTACAGTGGACCTCGAAGATGATGGGTAAACCTTTTCCCCAGTTTGCAACCAGCACTTTTCTTTCATATCGAATTCTTTACACTTTTTTTTTAAACAATTTTTGGAAACAACGTAATGTTGTTTCGAACTTTCACTTGATTTGCAACTTATGACCAAATCTTTTCAAATATTTGTAGGATTTCCAGTAAACTTAAAGATTTGACCAGCGATTTCAACGAAATTACTGCTCGAGAAGCAGAAAAACTGAAGGCGGGTAATATCACGGAGGCAGTGAATAAGCTGAAGGAACTGCGCGGATACGTCAAGTCGAAAGTGGCAGTTTCGAATTCTTCTACTGAAACAGAAGCAATAAAACAATTTAACACAGCAAGTGGTAGTGATTCTGCTTACGCTGGGCATAGTTTAGCCGATGTTCCGTTACCAAAAGGAGTGCAGGTAGCAGTTGATGTTACTGAACGAGTTGGACAAACTGCGACACCTGGAGTTCGAACCCAGGAAGCTTGTACTAGTGCTAAGATCGATTTAAAGGATAGAGATGTGAGAAGAAAAAAAGAAATGCTTAAGCGAAAATGGGAAGAAGATGAAGAGGATGAATTGAGCAGACTAAGGTACTACAGCATTTGTTAATTTAGCTTTAATAAACGCTATTTGAATGAATTTTAATGAAAATTAGATCTGTAACAGCCGATGATTTTCTCTTTTGTCTCTTTCTAACCCAAATTTAATTATTTTTATGTTGCAATTTGGTAGATTCAGATTTTATTTAAGTTTGGTTCCCATATCAGTGAAACTATTAACTTCAAATGCCTTTCAGATACGAAGCACTGCGAAGTAAAACACGAAGGTTGATGAACGATCTAAAAGCTGAACGGCGTCGCCTGAAAAGGGAGCGCCTGCGTGCTACCATTGCAATGCGACGAGCTCGTGAACGATCGGTTGATACTAGTGTAGATGAGATTTTGCTCGCCGATACTTCTGACACTAGCGAAACAGATGATTCCGAGGACTATTCACCCTCACATAAGGTTGATTTTTTTGTAAGGGTGCACTTATATGCATAATGAATGTTGAGAGTTAGATGTTTTGGGGTATCGCGGAAATACAATCATTCCCTTTATTAAGGTGCTGCCAAAATATGCTATTCCTGTACAGTTACATTAATTGCGCTAAGCTTAGTTTTCCGATGAGAACCAAAGCGCTAATGGCAGTTTTGTTGCCATTAGCCAGCAATGATTATCTAATGTCTCGATTCAAATATGTGAGTTTCAAGTTAAAAATGGAACCGGTCACTATCTTTCAATAATTAGTTGTTGCGTTTTGTTAACTGAAAGATCATACATAGTTATCAATTTACACATTTTTCAGTGATTTTTAAGATTAGTTGTACTTCCGGATGAGACTAAAATTCGTTTTCAGGAAACTTTCAACTAGGAGATGGTATGTAGTATTTTGAAGGATTCTATCTCCTTGTGAATTCCTTAAAGTTCAAAAACTTTTGACATCAGTACCACACCGTTGGGAATAGAACGATATTAATTAAACAAAATTTGACATAAAACGATAATTAAACAAAAAATTTGACGTGGTATATATTTGGTGTTCATCATCACTACGTGAACGATTACATGTTACCTATTTAAAAAAGGGGAAAATAAATTAGTCTTTTTTTTTTGTGCTTAAGTGTTAATTTATTGCTGTTGTATCGCTACTGCTATTGTTTTAAGATATTCCCATTTTATGAGATTTTGATTTGCTATCGTCAAAGGAAGCCGCACTGTCACCCCATATCATGAAGCTTTAATTTGATCATGTTAGATCATCCAGCTGGCTGGCTGGCTGGACTTATTGAATTGAAGTGAAATTAAATTAAAGCTGAAAGCGAATGAAGTACGAGAATGAGGAACATTTGAATATATGTAATCTTGGTACATATGTGAGAGACGCATAGAATACAATCTAAGAAATTGTTAACATGCTCTTTGTAATGTCGTTTGTTTTTTTTTTTTTAAATTATATTTCACTTAAAATGATATGTGAAAATTATGACAAGAAAATGAGTAAAAGAATGAAAGCGTAGAGATAATGTTGGTTGATAATTTATGTGGCAGATAGCTAAGGAGTTTAAAGGTTATGCGGGACTGAAATTAACTAGATTTGATATCGGAAGAAGGAAGAACAAGGCTATCTGGTTATTAAGTGCAGCTTTATTGATGTAGAGTGTAGTCTTATACAAGCTTCTTAAAAGGCTTGCGCTTCTAGCTATCATACTTTACGTTAATCTTTCTTTCGACCGATTTTGGTGACGAGAGAAATAAAATATAAGGAAAGGAAATCTCGTAATATGAAATTTCGTAATATTTTTCATGCACTTGGTTTCGATGATTTCACCCCCTGCTTTAGGTTTCAAAAATCATTGACATCTGGTTGAAATCTCTGTTTCGTTCAGTTATTCGTAAATAGGAGTATTGTAGCTTATGTCTAAGACAATCATGTATTAGAAAACTCATTGAAATGGAGCAATTAATCGAAGAAATTGGCACATTTCCCTTCTCATCTCTTCCAAATAGCTACTGCTATCGTGGAGGGTCATCACATAACATTATCCAGAATGGGTACTGCGACTTTGCTTTCGCCGATCATGTGCCTTCAAGCTTTCCACCCATCTTCACCATAGTGCCATTTTCATTCTTTTTTCCCTGCATGGTCGGTATGTTCTAGTTTCAAGCACAAACCATTTCCTACATTCTGTGTTGTCAATTTTTTCAAACAGTTCTGTTCTTCCTATCATATTACATGTGTTGTGTAATTTTGTTTCTTTCAAGGAATTTTAAAAATTCCTGAACAACTGAATTCCAAAAAACTGGAAGTCCGTAACTTTAAAGACTAAAGCTATATCTTGCTCTAAAATCTTTCATATCATTATCCGTGAACTATGGCAAAGTTGTCCAGAAATAGTTTTATTTTGACATTTCGATCATTTGCATGTTTGAATGTACGTTTCGTAACTACTTTTATTTCAACTTCCTGATTATGACAAAAAGAACCTTCATGAGATTACTGCATTCCTACTAGACAACGGATTGCTCTGAATTATCCATTTCTTGTGCTATTGCTTTTGTACTATTAAGAACTTAGTTCTAACAAGGTAACTTTAAAGTATTAATTTCAGATATTAGCATCAGTTACATGGTATGAAATGCTTATTGAATCCAACGAATCATCTTGGCATCTCGCCCTACTCTTTAAAATCTCTAACATAACTCTTTAACACATTTATAACAACGTAGTAATCTGTAACATAACTCTTTTGCAGGCATATTTGTTTCGTGTGTTACCATAAATTGTATCTTGAGTTATTGCACAGCTTTTCTTTGTAATTCCATTTTGCTACTGTCCAAGTCGATAGTCCTTCCCTCTGTTGTACCTATTTATTTGCTGAGTCGGTCTTGATTAAATTTCATTTTGACTTTATTACGATATTCTTTGGTAAGAACTGGTAACTCAGTTCTGGAAGTGATTCCATTGTACAGTTCCGAAGACTGTGCTACTCTGGAAGCCTTACAAATATAAAATAGTTTTAGAGGTTCCAATGAAAATGTTGAAGGAAAGGAAAAGTACCCACTTAAGATGGTTTACTTCATTGAGTTAGTAAAGTTGTGGTGGGGAAGAGGTAAATGATACTTCGATCATTTCTATCAGTAACAATTCATTATTATTGTTGAACATTAAAGTGTAAACCCTTACTTTGTATTCCATTATGTTGCTGTGTCCTAGGGCACTTGTTCAGTTTTGGTCAGAAACAAATCGATCATCAGTGCTGTACAATTTTGACCGTTTTTTCCTGAGTGGAATCAGTGCTTTGCTGAATCAATGCTTTGCTAAACTACCATTTTTATCGTTTATAGTATTTGGTACTCCAAATTTTTCCCATTCATTGTCCTGTAGTTTGCATTAACATTTTTTCAGTTTGCTTCGTTACTATTCTCCAAAATTGTTTCTTACTTGAAAAAAAAAATGTTTTTAAATAGAAAAGCGTAAGAATTCTTCCAGACGGAAAAATTGGGAAACGTGTTGGACAACTTTTGGTGTTTTCATTCACTTTTCCAATCTTTGTTTCTCGCTACCGTATCCTTTCACTCATCATCGCACCATCTAACTATCATCATCACCCTGAGAAAATAGATTAAAAGAAAATAGATTTTTCTTCCCTTACATCTTCAGAGAATTTTACCTCTTGTTAACATTGCTTTTGAACTGTTTTTGCAGTTTTTGGGGTATCGATTTTAATAAATACTGCATTTTGACTTCTCTGATTTGATTACCTGAATTTCTTGTTCTTCTTTTCCATCATCTGACAAAATACTTTTTCGATGCATAACATAAACTGGCACTGGCACTCAGTACTTACTGTGGTTTCCTTTTTTTTTCTCATACATTCCACCCTTAAAATTTGTTTCCCTGCACTTGTGGAAACATCCAATTTTACTATGCTATTCTTGTCACCCTCAAATACCTTACTCACAGATAAATTTTTCTTACTCACAGATAAATTTTTTTTACTCACAGATAAATTTTCTTACCCACAGATAAATTAGTCTTACTCACAGATAAATTTTTCCCCACAGTTTGTTTGCTGGGAATTTTTATACTTTGAAAAAATATGCGAAATGGTATTGCAGTATCATTCCTATAATTTCTTAATAAGGAAATATGAATGATTGAGCACTGACAATTTTTCTCATGGGGATGGAGAGAATGAGTTGTTTGGGTAATGCTTTTGTAAAATAATTGAAAAAATCTTTTTTTTTCAAGGATTAAAGTTAGTGCACTGCATTCTTGTCTGCTCTTAAAAGTTCATAAATACTTTGTAGTATTTATCACATACTAATCCTCTCTTTTCATTTCTGGTTATAAGGCCCTCACAGAGGAAAGGAAAATATAAGAGATGCCTCGTCATACTGAAATGCTTGTAGCCAAATCGAACTATCACGCCATTTTAAAGTTTTATTTTTCAAAAAATGTGTGTCAGTAATTTAAGCTGCTGCATTTGGCACTTTTCGGGAGCAAGAATTAAGTGAATTAAGAAATTAAATGTATATTATCTATCATTCACCCAATTATGGATATGATTTTTCTCTTCTCTAGAGAAGCTCATAATGGTTGTAGATGTAGTGCTATGCACTAAAAATAATGAACGGAAATCGACGACCAAAAAAAGTACTAACTGATCACTCATTTTTAAATGCTTTCAGCTATTATGACTTCGCTGTCTTTTCTTGTCTACTTTATTATTCATAGCTCTCTTTAGTTATGACAATATCCAGAATTTTAATGATCCTTTATTACTAATATTCATCCTAAATTTTTCTGGCAATTATTATCAGTTCGAATGTAGTTCAATAACGGTAAAGTGTACAGTTTTCCTGAATTTTTTTTATGCCATTACGGAAAAGATTAAAAGGGAGAACAGTAAGCCAAAAGGAAGAACTCTTATCTAACTGTAAAAACATATATATATATAGATTTTGAAAGAATTCTTACAGATGGTGATTTTTTCTGGCCTTTTCTAACCGTAAACAAGCCCGATGGAAAGGTGTACCAAAGCCCATTTCCCAGAGTAGGTGATCAGCGCATTTTATGGGAATTTTTTCCGTGATTTACTGCCAATGAAGCATTGAAACAAATATTAAACATCTGGAAGTTATTTATTTATTTTTCGATAGGTGTTAATAGCAGTACCGTAAACCCGGATTGTACATATACCTAAGTTTTCGTTACTTTTGTTTATTCTTTTTTGTTAATTTAATATGTTGATTACTTGAAAAATCATTCATTTTTGCAGAGGAAGCTGCTGAAACGAAAACGATATGGTGGAAGAGAAGCCCTCATTGTGCATTCCAACACGTAAGAATAATTTTTTAAGTAAAAATAAATAATTCTGTTTCTTGAAACGGTAGACTTTTTTAATTTTAAAAGTGTGGGAATATAGCGTATACGGTAACTTCTTTATGTATGTCGCTTTTTATTTAAAAGAATCTCCGCTTTTGAAGGCGAAATGGTTAAGAGGAGCTTAAATCTTTTTACAGTAGACACTATGGCGTTTCTAAAACGGTTTTTAATAGTTCATGTTTTGAAGGGCATCTTTTGGACATTAGCGACTCACTGTTTTATTGTTTAACTTTGAAATGTGACAGTTTTACTCAGTTAAAGAAAATTATCGTCGAAATTAGCACGCGGATTGAAGTTTACCCGTCAAGTGGTAATTGAAGTCAAGTGAAGTTTACTCGAAATGTTACAGCATGTCTTGAATCCTTAAATTAAGGATATTAGCACAGATAAATATATTTATGTCTGTCCTACATGAGGGTGTTTGTCCTATCTGTATGTGTGCGCTCTGCGTATTCGCGGTTTTGCGGCTATGGAAATGATGAGAAATCCCATTTCTATGGTTGTTTATTGGGGACGATTTATGATTGTTGAGGCTAATTATAGGTAAATATCATCTTCTCTCCTTCATCCTAAGTGTTACATATTCCGCACTCTCCTTTGTCTTCTCTCGCTTCCTCTTTTTATGCTATTTCTTTTTCATCTTAATCTTTTTTTGGTATAAAATCAAAAACTTGGAAATTTTCAGAGTCACCTATGGAAATGTTGGGCAGAGACAATATCTCTTCAAGATTTTCTTTAGCATACTTGGATATGGGATAAAGTCTGAGGATGAATTCTAGCGTTAGGGATGTCCGATAACACTTAATAAGACGGATTCTGGTCTTGTTTGCACCATACTTACCGGTCGTCACTGTTGACCACAACTTCCCTCACACTGGTTTCGAACTAACTAATTAAATAGTTTTTCCCTTGAAGAGGGATGTTCCTAAATGAAAGGAGAAAATAATAGCAACTTGGAGAAGTGCCTTTCAATTCTCAATTATTCGCCTGTTTGACTTCCTGTGTTCTAGGACTTCTAAAATCTTAGGAAATAACTGCGCTGTTGTATTTCTTATCTCTGGTCTCCGAAAAGGCCTTGGATGAGCGAAACAACAATGCAAATTCTCATGCTGCGTTACGATAGTTGAGCATTTTTTTCTCAGCTCTCATTTTTTTTTTCCGCTTCACTGAACATTTTGGAATTTCCTGAATACTATACCTGTTTTGGGGTCGAGCAAAACTAACGATAGGCGAGCTTCGTTGAGCGGAAGAGTTTCCACCCGAAAATTGGAGATATATAACGAAGTTGATATGCATAACCACATATTCTTAAAACCAAAATTTAATTTTTAGAAATGAAATGAGATCAGTGCAAACTGAAATGAATTCGGTATATATATGTATATTTTCCCCTTCTGATAATTCTAGTTGAGTTTGCTGGTGTTCCTATACGGTAAAATACGAGGAGCATCAGTTTAATGCATGGTACTTTTAACTTCCTCATGGTTTTTGAAATACATGGAACAGTGACCGGTTTGATGATGATTTCGTTTTTCCACATCTATTTCCCATCTCATTTGAATCATTGGTTTTTTTTTTCAAACTAATTGTTAAAATCGAATATTTCTGTGATGAAACCACAAATATTGATTTCTGTCCTATAAATTTTTCGGAACTTTTTTTCGTAATCTACTTTTTCGGCTTTTAATTAGACCAACAACTACAGAAGATAACTCTTCTGAGATCTTATAAGGAAATAGCCCATTCACACTTTGGTGTCGTAAAATATGCTAGGTCAGTACAGTAATCTCCAGCTTGCGACATCTAGTGGACTTCGGAAATAATATGTTACGTTATCAGAATATTCGTTATTCTCTTTTTTTCATTGTGCTTCGAACTTTTTTTTTAAATTTCAAGTTATTGTGATATATTGTTTCAATAATCAGAACAAATTTATTTATTCAAGGAATAAAATATGTGGATTAAAACGACGTGTTATTGATGATGGCAACATCAAGCAGCAGCAAAAGCAGCATCAAAATGCAATGAGCAGTGAGAATCGAGAACAGCTGGAATCAAATGCTCCGAACAATTTGATTTTGGTAAGTATCCTATTCCACTCGGAAAAAGTTCAATTGATTTCACATTTTTTGACAAGGAAAGAGTACAGCTGGTTTTAATATGCCAATTTAAAGTTTATCATGGACTTTTTTCGATGGGAAGAAAAAATGGCGAGAGTTCGTTCATAGTTGGACTTAATATTAATACTGACTTAGATTTATATGAAGGTCTATAAACATATCCAGTCATATAATTTTCCTCAATTTAATGAGTTATTAGAATGCAGGATAAGAAAGCTCATACATAGCTATAAAGCTTATATTTCTCTATAATCAGGTTAGGGCGATTTTTATTAACTTCCCAGGAACAAGTTAAAAGATTCATATATAGCTTTTCTAGAAGTTTTTATATATGTGCATGTCCCCTGGATTACTGTGTATCTATATTTATATGCCTTTTTATTCCCGTTAAATTTTATGATGCTAATTATAAATGGAATAAATCAAATGCACAAATCATAAATGTTTCTATTGATAATACTTCTCTCTTTAAGCTTCATTTTCATTAATGAGAATTGAGAGAGATTCAAGTAGAAAATTCCTGTTAGAGCAGTACAGACGATGTATGCCAAAAGACTAAGAATGGCGCAAAAAAAAAAAACCAAAAATTATGAGATCGAATTGTTACAAATTATTAAAATATTGATTAGAAACATACTATATGCATTGATGAGAAAAATTGTAGTTTATACTTTCTATACTTTTTGTTTGTAGTCCTTATTGTTCTGTTAATACATGATATTTTCAGCCGTTTCTATATTTTTCAGGAACTTCAGCAGCGCATAGGTGGATCAAATGAAGGCGCATTAGCATTGTTGGAACAGCTAAAGAAATGTCTAATCGGTGGAGCGGTGAGCTCGAATATACATCTCAATCCAGAAATAATTAGAAAAAATGCTTAAACATTGTTCTTTTTTTTCATCTTCCGAACTTGTTATTATATTTCCTAATCAGCAGTTTATTTTAATTTCGACTACGGTATTATAGTAGTACTGACAAATTTTCTTGGCTGTTCATCGTTTTATTTTAGCTTAAATTTTCTGCATCTCTTGGAACCATTATTGATCAATAATGTAATTTTCTTTTTGTTATCAATTTTGTTACATTTCGTTTTGCACAGTGCATGGAACAGATACAAATTAGTGATTTTTATTTGTGTTGGGAAGTATTTTATTATTGTCTTGAATAGATTTTATGCTCTATCCAATTGAAATAATGAAATTGGTCATTACTTTTTTTAACCCACAAAAATTATCTCTTTCTCACGAAGTATCTTCATTTATCTTATTCTCTTCTCTTATGATACTTAAAAGGTCAATAAATGAACTCATGAGTAATTCAGGCAGACTTCCAGATGAGGATGTTGGTTACTGTATGTGGGAAGTAAATGGATCCAATGGTCAGGATCAGCAGTCATTTTAATGAGGCAATAATAAAATTCTGGGAAGATAAACATGAGAAAGGGGTTAATAACAAATCTGCTAAATTTTGCTTTGAAAGATGAGAGGTTAAATATTGTAGGCTGGAGTCATCGAATTACTCTTCAAATTTGATGGCATATGAAGAGATTTGCATTTGAAAGACAAAATTTAGGAGTATTTGGTGTTATACTGGTCAAAATAGTACATGGGGTGCATCAAGTTATAAGTGGATTAGCACCTGTAATTTAGTATCCAGGCGGTTAAAAAGAACACTCCTGGAAGATTTATCTATAATGAACTAAAACTTGCACAGTTCCACTTCTGTTAAACATTCAATATTCTCAAATGCAATCTTATGTTTAGCATGGTTTTTGGTGAAATGTAACAAAGCTTCAGGAATTTGTTGCGTATTGAGGTTTTTTGACGTGAGAAAAAACAGGATTGGAAAGGTCAAATGGAGTAGGTGTCAATTTTATACGGCTCAGAACGACTGGACAAAGATATTAGTGAGAAGGTGCAGAGTGAATAATTATAGAATCAATGAAATTTTGAGGGGAAAAAAAATTGATTCGTGATTTTCGAATTACTGGGTACGACGATCTCATTGCTATTAATATCACTGATGCTGATTTTACTGCCGAAAAGGAATTTCATACAACAATAACGCTTTCAACTTTCAGAATTTCGATTACAAATTGTGCAGAATTGAGCCAATTTTAAAATTTCACTTTTCATGATTTGAGGAAGACTCGATGGCTAAATTAATCCAATTACAATAATGCGTCTGTTGATTTGAAATGCGAGAGGTAGATTTAGCAATAGTTCAAACACTGATTACAATACCTGTATTTGAAATTTTAAAGTTTCCCATTTTCTGTCAGGTGCAAATGGAAGTTTCATATGTTTTTTAACTAATTAATGGGCAATTTTTAACAATGTCTACTTTTTTTTCTTACAACTTATGTGATAATAAAACGATATTGAGCATATTTTCACAACCGTGGAGTTTTTTTTTTTTGGCTTAGCATTTGTGGTTATATTTGAAAATATTTAATTCTAATTTGAATCTTATTCTTCTAAATGATCTCAATGTATGTTTAAATGGGATAAAAAATCAAATTTTCTTTTAAATTTGTAAAAATTTATTGACTAGTATTTGAAGTACATGTACATAAGTAACAGGAATTCACTGTGTTGTTTATACCAAAATTTTACTAATTTTTGCATTTCAATGAATTGTAACTTTTATGAAAATAAGGATTCGCTCTAAGCGCAAAACTGGGCGATAATGACTATCTAATTATGTCCTGTCTATTATACTTCAAAAGTTTTTTTTTTAAAAAAACTTATTAAATAAGAAGAACTAGCTTAAAACTAATTATGACATGAAGGGAGTAGTAAATAAGCTTTTAAGCTCATCATTGATTTTATATTTTATATATATATATATAAAGATCCAAAGTTGGCGTTGTAATAAAATAATACATATATTATAGAGTGATTAAATATTTTAAAAATTAGAATCAATTTTCGAAATGATGAATATTCCTGTGCTCTTCCCTTGCCTTATCCTCCTTTTTCTTCTTCATCCGTCGATTTTGGAACCAAATTTTGATTTGTCGCTCAGTGAGACCCAATGTTCGATTTAATTCAATGCGCCGTCGTCTGGTCAAATACTTGTTGTAATGAAACTCCTTCTCAAGTTCCAACGTTTGCTGGCGACTGTACGTTTGCCTTCCTCTCTTCTTACAGTTATCTGCAATGAATGCCTTTTTTTCTTTTTTCTTTTTTTTTTTTGCATTTTGTTTCTGGATCACCGCTGGAAGTGAAGAGCACAGGAATACATATAGAAGTAAAGATGCGAATATGCAAATTTATACAATGATAGACACTTATTTGTAAAAATTTTTCTTTTTATTAAAATTTTTAACTATGTTTACAAAATTAAAAATATATGGGATGTAAGAGATGCGAAGTGTGATTGTAAATAAATCAATGTAATATTTTGGAAAGCTTCAGAAGATGGCGAATAATGCGAAATAGCTTCCTTGCATTTTGCAAAATAATAAATTTATTCGAATAAATCTAAGTTTTGAAGTTTAGAAGTTTTAAGCTGAGAAGCTTAAGCTGAGAAGTTTAAAACTCTAGCATTGTTATCAATAACAAAAAAATTCCAAGCTAGAGAGAGAGATCTTTAAAACTCATTCAAATTTTGAGATAGAATAAAAGTTAAATTGAATATTAAAGCTTGAAATTTATTGTGAGATTTTGGTGAGCTGTAATTGTAAGAAAAAAACGACAACTTTTTTTGTCATTCATAATTCCTTCATTTGTTCATTCAAACGAGAAAAAGGCGCTCATACAACATTCTCATATACGGTAATCAAATCAAATTAAAACCAAAACTTATGATCACAATCAAACATACAATGCGTCAAACTAAAAGGGAGAATTGCTTTTTTTCTGGGGGGAGGACAAAATAAATTGAAATGAATAAATTAAAATGGAAAATTAACACATAAAATTTTGTAATCGAATTTGTGCAATTCTAACTCCACCCAGATGAAATAAATAAATTATTTTACTGGTTATCATTGGTTGCAATACTTTCTTAAGACAGTAATAACTTAGCCATTTGCAATTGTGCGGGAATAAATTGACCGCCTTCCTTTTGGTCGAATAACTGCTATTCCTTCTAGTAAATGAGCATTAGTTTGTCGCATATTCAATAATCAATGAAAACCACCGGTAATAAAGTAAAGAAAAACATTGATCGATGTATTATAGCACATGAAAAATGCACACATACAAAATATAAAATCCATCAAATTAGATTTCATATATTGGGCGGACAAATAGGATAGGGTACGTAGGAAGCCGGATGAGGTGGTACCTGATTAGGCCATGGCTGGGGCATTGTTGGCATCGCCGGCATGCACCAGCTTGCGCCAGCGGCTACCTTTTTATCCACACGTTCATCCGCTGCAGCAGCTGCTGCGGCTGCGGCTGCCGCCGCAGCAGCACTGTCAACGACCAATTGTTTGGGTGGATTCGCTGGAAGCAAAGCAGAATGCTCATTTTGCTCTTCACACCGATTCTTCTCCTTTTTAGCTTTCATGCGACGATTCTGGAACCATATTTTGATCTGTCGATCGCTCAAATTGGTCTGTAGCCGAAGTTCCTCACGTTGTTTTTTACTCACGTAACTGCTTTGTTGGAACTTGCTTTCGAGCACTGATGTCTGATAACGCTGATATGTTTGACGACCCTTCTTCGATTGTGCTGCAATTTTAGATCAAACAAAATTCTCCCAGAAATTTCCAAAAGCCTTTTTCGAACTCGTTCACTTCGTCATTTTGAGATTTTATTTCAATTTAAAAATTTGCATAAATTTCGTCTTCAATTTTTAACAATTTTCGGAAATTTTCCCCATTACCAAAAATAAATTTCTAAAAGAATTAATTTATGAAGAAGAATGAATGAAATTAAAAATGGATCAAATATTGTCAACTGATTGTGAGAAACATCGATATGAAGAAGATATTTAAAAAGGAAGCGGAGAATGTGGGTGTGAGATTTCAAAAATTAAATTCAAAATTCTTTGCAATTCCTAAAATTGCTGTGGTTTTATAAAATTTGACAAATTTGTAAAAGTTAATTCTCCACTAATAATAACTTCAAGTGTCACATGTTCCATCAAACTAGCTAAATTTAAAGAATTGATCGATAAGCAAGCGTAATGTTATTGCGTAAATGACTGTAATGAAGATTATCATTAGTCGATAAACAACAAAACTACAATAATAGTGATAAACGGGACATTAAATAAAAGATGATGTGATGAGATTCTTTATAAATTGACACCTATAATGACCACAAGGAAATGCTTCAGAAGTTTAGAAAGTTTGAGAATCGAACTATGAGTAGTTTAAATAATAACCGTTGGGCTGATTTGAATTATATGAAATAAATTTCATTTGAGTGTAAATGAATTAAATCTTGAACCCACTAATCGAATGATCTACGGAACCCGACGAAGTGCTTCATTAAAGGGAATGAAGATGGTATTAAATAAAAATTTATGGACAATTAAATAAAATAAAAAGAGAGAATGAGTATTAGCACTATGTATACACCCATGAATTGGCCCTTAGAGACACGATAGATGGACAAACAAACACAAAGATGACTGAGTGAAAAAATTGAATTAAAATGTCAGATAGCCGCCGTAAACATATTTCATTAAATTTGACTCACCATAATTTGGCCAGTGTGGAGGTGCATAGCACTGTGCCGGCCAAGCAGAAAATGCAGCCGCAGCTGGATTCATTGGCTGTCCGAATTGTTGGTAATAATTAGGCCAATTACCATATTGCTGTACATATGCAGCAGCAGCAGTCTGGTATAAGGCTGGATCTGGTTGAGTGGTTGTCGAATTTGGGTCACTACTATCGGAGGAACCCGAAGATTTCGTGGTGGTTGACGAAGAAGTGGTATGACCGACACCTTGTGTCATTTGTGCAAGCCGTTGCAAATGATCATCTGTTGGAATAACGGCAGCTACTGCGGCTGATGCTGCCGCATCCTGGAAGGTTCGTGATCCGGAAGCCGGAAATTCGAAACCCATCGCTGAAAGCGTTGGTGCGTTCATGCTATTGATATTAATTTATGGCTGTTTCTACCACTTACACTAAAATCGCAGCGAAAAAAAAAAGCCGAAACGGTTGATTAGTGCGGATATGGAGGGGATCAAGTGGATGGATGGATAGATGGTGGATCAAATAGCTGGTTTGGATGGATCGGATGAATCGGATGGATGGATCGAACGGATGGATCGGATGAATCGGAGGGATGGATTGGATGGATTGGATGGATGGATGGATGGATGGATGGATGGATGGATGATGGATGGATGGATGGATGGATGGATGGATGGATGG